TAAAAACCGAAAGCGCACTCCAAAGGGGTCGGCGGGCCCACCGCGTGGGGCCCACTCGCACTCCCCTCGCAAGCAAAGGATAATTCCCCTATCACGTGTCCCATGCTCCTAAATTTTTGGCCTTATCGTAATAAAATAAATAAAAATGAACAAATAAATATATACTCCGTCCTATTTTTATTTTTTGTCATTTTGAGAAACAACATGTTAATTAAGAATTTTTTTTTCTTGTCAATATTTTTTTGGTACAGGGACCTTCCGTTTTCTGGATCCATAAGGGAACCGACTAATTCGGAATCGAGCCGGGTAGGATCGCAAGGGCGACAAAGCTCTCCCTCAAGAGTTTTAACACTGCTACATTCACATGGCTCGAACTCGAAACCACTGGTTAAGCTGGAAGAGACCCAAGTCATCTCATTCAAGCGCTCTTGGGTTTTCTTGTCAATATTAACCCTAATTAAATAAATGTTATGGAAAACTATAGAGATGAGATATGAAGAGATGTGCATTGATGGAGGGTTAAAAATGAAAAAATATGAACAAAATAACGAAACCGATATTTATTTAATCAATGATCCATTAAATGAAAGTGACCAATAATAAAAATAGGAGGGATATCTGATTTGCAATTTTGCACCTTTTCGATTAGAGGGATTTCGTTTCATATGTTTTGTGTTAATTTATAATGTAAGCGCGTTCTTTTGATAAATACATAATATATACCAAGTATTGTTTTCCTATTTCTATCAATCTATAAATTTTTGTTCAAATATTGCAAATACTCTATGTTCTAGAAAATAATGAGTAATTCTGCGGTCTCTTTATAGAACTATTTCGTCGGGTTTGTAAGATCAACTATCACTCATTTCTTAGGCAATTCTTCTTTAGGGAGTGAGAGGGGCAAGGGGAAAGGGTGGTACGACGATTACATGATGACTCTAACGGTTACAAATTCCGACAGAATGATTCCGTAACGGGACTGTAGCATTTCCGTAAAATAACACTTGATAAATACATTATGAATGATTAAATATACAATGATCATGATCAAAATAGTAAATAAAAGCTGCTTAAAATATGACATATTGTTTGACCCAAACAAAGGCAAGTTAACAAAAAGTAGAATTTGTTAAAAGAATTTCTAAATCCACAAGAAATTCTTGGCTTTTTTGCATGTGGTAATTCATTTCTGAGTGCGCATAACAATTGTGAGCACATATTGTAAGAAAGGACAACAAATCAAAAGGAAAAAAAGAATAAATAACTGCAATCTCTAGTAAGTGAGCCTTGTTAGTTAATTAATCTGTGTAAATTCCAAATAACAGTCCTATAATTTTAATGGTGTATTTAAAGTAGTTTTCTTAATATTTGATTAATTACTTTGTGGACTGTTGTTTGGAAAAAGAAAAATTATGAATTAAATGCATAGTTTTGAGACCCGGACCTGCTCAACGGGTCGACCCAGGACCCAGTCGGGAGCCGAAACTGGACCGGGTGGGCTAATTGGACCGGGGTAACAAAGGACCCGGTCAAACCTCAGCCAAACCGGCATTGACCCGGTCGACCCGGCTCATTGACCCGGCTTGGTCAACCCGGTTGACCCGGCTCCAATATATATTTTTTTATTTTTTTAAAATATTTTTTGTTTTTAAAAAATAAAACTATGTATATATATATTGATATGATAAATATTTATCATTAAATATATGTTATCAACACTTTAGTATACAAATTTTATATAAAAAACATTTAATTTTGTTATTTTTATGTATATTTATATGATAAAGTACTCTGTATATAATTTTAAATTTAAAATTAATTATATGGTTCAACAATTGACCCGGTGACCCGGCGATAGAACCGATGACCCGATCACTTGCCCAGGTCGATTCCCTGGCCGGGTTTAAAAACTATGCTTAAATGCTAATATCAATATATCCTTAGAATTATGGGACTACTTTCCATATTTTATTATTCTTAGTTTATTGCTAAAAAGGTTTGGATATTTTGATTTCAACGAGCGATTTGGGACAAATTAGTGTATAAACGAACCGAGTCGAGTTGAGATCAAGCCGACAAAAAGATCTCGAGATTGACTTGTTTATCAATATTAATGAGACAAACTCAATATCACTAGTCGGGCTATAAAAAATTATACAAAATCCATATTTCAAGTCTTAATGAGCTAAATGAGTTTTAATCGAGTTGGGATTAAGTCTTAACGAGTCGAATAGAGTTGAACTCGTGAGAAGCTCGTTTCGTTTTATCAGCTCTGATATTGCAACAACAATTTGGGAAAAGATGTTGAACCAATCCAAAATTTTAGAAGTCTTCATGGCCCATAAAGTCAAAATTCATAAGTACTGACTAATGAATTTTAGAAATTAGGAAGCTATAATTATTAATTAGTTAAGTGTTTTAATGAAGGTACCTTTTTACACAATAAAAAAAAAAATCAATTATACAATTTAAGTGTGATTATTAACCAACTAAAGATAGACACCTATATCGAGTCTTTGTGGATGCAGAAAACCCTTGTTGGGAGACTCACCCACCACTGCCAGGTGTGCGACCCGGGTCGATCAACAGATTAGTCGGGGCATAGCTCCAGATACCGCGACTGGCTACCAAAAAAAAAAGATATACACCTATATAGCAACATAGGTTATCTTTTATCTTATCTAGATTTTATTTGTTGCATTGGATACTTGAAGATATACTTTTTTTTTAAAAAAAAAAAAATTCAATTGATTTAAAAGAGAAATCAAATAGTTGAAAAGTATTATCATTTAGATTTAGGACCTTTATTCTCTAGCTGCTGCCAGTAGTTTTCACCTGGAAACAAAAATCAAAATCATCAAAATCTCTATATTTCCTTTAAACACCAATCATTTGTATTTACTAATGATCAATCATATAACAATTATTATTTTATTTCTTTTTTGTTGTTTTCAAGTAGTATGACTTTAATGTTGTAATGATTTCTTATTTTGAAAATTGCCCACGTAAATATCCAATACATTTTGTTATTAATTACTTAGAAAAAAAAAATTCAATAAAAATTCTAACCGATTTTTTTTAATATAAGTTATAATATTGAAATATAAAAAAAAAATTAATAAAAATTTCAACGAAAAACCAGTTCGACCCAACGAACCATTTCAGTTGACATTGTACTGAAATTTCTCAACGGAAGTGATATTATCCATTAAAATTATCGTTAGAATTCTATTAAAACATATTGCCGTATAAATTTGATGATTTTTCAATTTGTTGAAAAAAAAAATATTTGTAGAATATTACTCCTTATCAAGTAATCAAATTCAGAACTTTGAGGTGAAAGAGATTCCTTATTCCTAATTGATGTCAAAGAACTATGAAACACATAAAAATATTCCATCTTTGAGTATATATGAAGCTACCTAAATGATTCTTTATAATAAGACCTATTTTTATTTTTATTTTTATTTTTGGGTCTTTCCCAATTATATATGAAAGTTGAGGTATTTTTTTTTTATATTTTTTCCTTAAATTTTTTTAAGAAGGAAATAAATGATGCTACCTTTCTTCTCGTGCAAG